TATATGTGTACAAGTTAATTAGCTGAAGGTGAGGCGAAAACCTCAATATTAAATATACCAACTTATACATATAAACCAGTAGTAAGTTCCGTAGCAAGTTATATCTTTGCTTTACAACAAGTGTAATTAGAGAACACTGGTTTGAAAGGTCCGTAACGGAACTCGTTTACTTGACATTTCGTGAGACAAACACAGCGGTTACCGTCAACGACTTTATCACGGAACACGAGCGAGGAAATATCTCTGATTTGTGCATGTATCCGTCGAGCTACGAACCGAATGTAAAATACAATCCGTGGCTTCCGCAACGTCGTATCCTCCGCGGATACTATAACGGTTTCCGCGTGTCGAGAATACATGACTTGCCGGGACACATCTCTACGTAAACATCCAAGAAATGTTTCGATCACCTTAACTCCGACGATCGATGCACCGCATCGCACAGCCAGATTAAATTCGCAGTTCCGAAGTTCCCTTCTAGCCGTGACTCTGCGTGCGAACGATCACCAAGTATAACAAGCTCGAGCATGGTATAGGAAACTCAATCGACTCTCACACTAGAAAATTATATCCTACGTACTTGACTACCTGCACGTTATGAGATGATGGAGTATAAGGGGCGCGCGTAGAAGAAGAGGAAGGCAAATGCTTGGAGGGAAGGGTGAATTACGGGAGGGGCAAAATACCGTTGTAGCGAAACTCGGCGAGATTGCGAGAAGGTCGCCTAGCTATTTGTAATTGTAATTAGCAAACCGACTAATTCATTGCGTTACCAAGAAATATACGACGTGCTGTATGCTATTTAACTGCAACGGATGGGATCCAATACGAGAAAACGTAACAAACACTAATCACTGTGAGCACTGATGTATGTGACAAATTCTTGAATCCTGTTACGAGATACGCTTGAAGCGGAAAGGAGATTTAATAACGAGAAAGCAGAACGTGGTCAACACGAAGAAAGAACAATACAAAGCGAGGAAAAGAGGTACAAGAAAATGCAAAAGCCTGGTAGCATTTCTTGTAAAGACTTTTGATATATTTTTAGATTAAACATATACGCAGTATCCTAAGCTTCCCATATCTTTCTTCATACATGAACATCTGAAGCAACAGCAAATTTTCCCATAATAAAAATATCAAGACCCTGACATTTCGTAATTTTAGATTTAAAAGCGTAAAAATATTTCTAAATTAAATCCATTACAAATATATTCAAAACTGGATATTAAACATTTTTTAACTAATAGTATTAAATAAAATTTTAGTAGTTTACTTTGTATTAATCAAAGAATTTCAAATAAGGATATAGGGTGCCTAGAATATGTTTTAAGTGTATAATTTTAGGAAAATGTACTCTCTACAATTTTTGGAGTGAAAATACTGCCATAAAATGAGATATTCACTCTGTTGGAGTAAATATTCGCTCTGTGGAAGTAAATATTCACTCCAATAATAGGGTGAATACTTGACTCCATAGCAGTATTTTTACTCCAAGAACTTTAGAGAGTATATATAGTTTTTACAAAAAATTAATACCTTTCATCGTAATGATAAGATGTACGAACCTAGATAGGAAAGTCTCGAACTAACGAGCTGAATCGCTTTTGAAATTTGAACATAACGAGCTGAGTCGAGCGCGTCTCGGTAAATGTCAGAGAATAGAACGAGATAAATTTACGGGATCATGAAACATACTGGGACGGCTCGAGGATGTCAGCCGTTGTCATCTGGGAAAAAATACTGCGACAGGCTGCAACGCACATCACACGAAAAATAGGAGACGTGTTAACGAAACTGCAGTTGGCGAGTGTGCGTTTAACTGCCGCTGTTCTTAATTTCCACGGTTTATCTCTCGGGCTACCTTATCCTGTACGTTGCAAGTCCTTTGAGACTATAAACATAACGGTCCTACATTCCATGTGTTTTATTCAACAAATCGTCGAGAAACAAGGTGGATCCAACAAGTAATATTATTTCTTATTTACTATTTGGTATAAACAAATTAAATTCTTTTCATAGTATTTTTCAGTTATTAAAATTATAATTTTTATTAATAAAAAAAACCTGATTTCGTTATTATTTAATTATCGTTAACAATCAGCACCGTGATGATAAATATTATATCGGATAATATAAAGATTTTAATATCTTTTAAGTGATTTTATAAAGCTTTTTGCATATTTCTAAATCTGAGACGTTAATCAATAACAGACCCATGAGAAATATCGTACTCTCTCATGTACGAGTTTTCATATAGAATATAAAGTAATATATTAATATAAGATATAAGTAGAGTTTATTGTTGTGACAGCTTTTAATTTATTGAGATAAAAACGGAGAGAAAATAGATGTAGCGTTGAAAATTATAGAAAATTGGAAAAACGTGGTTGTGAAACTGCATTCATCATAATCATTTTTATTACATACATTTCTATGTTTATTTTCTATAACGCATTTTACAGGAACTGCACTGGACCTTTAACTTAATTATTTTCAACAAACATGTCCAATTTTATTTTACCTCAAAATAGTAAAATACGATAATGTGAAAAATAACTCAAGGGATAAAATGCTATTTTCTTTTAGAAATTATTCACTAGTGTAAATTTCGAATTATTTGATAACGTATATAAACGTAAAAGCGTATAAACCGACAACAATTCTTTAAGCTGCTTACATAAATTAACTCTCATAGGGTTATATATACATACAAAATTACGACTCTATGCTATTGTTAAATTACAATAATTTAGAAAACTATGTGGAGAAAGTTTTGATATAATTTTAATATTCATATTTTATCTACAATGTATGTGTTGTTAAACAATGTTTTAATTTCTTTTAATTTCTATACAAGCATAATAAATATTAATGCTGTAGTGATAAGTTATATTTAGCTTTTTCAATGTTCTTCAAGTAAGGAATACAAGTGTAAAAGAGGGGGCCGGAATGTATTTTACTATTGTTGCATTACAGGTTTGTACAGCGATCATAGAAGCGTAAGAAAATGCACCGTAATTCCGACTAAGTAATCTGTCATAGCTGCTTAAGCAAGAATGACCAAGCGCGAATTAAGAATACATTCACATAAAATAAACTTACAAAAAGACATTTACCATTAACGACGTAGGAGGGAACAAATTAGTTTATTTCAAATGTTTAAATTTAAGCCAGTGGCATACTGTGCCAGTACTTGCCAGTAGGCAAAACAGTATCGTGTACCGTTAGCCTCAACATCTATATAAAATATTTTAGAATTTACTACAACGTTTGTATACAATTATTTAATGTTATAGTTAGACATATGTATAAGAACATTATAAATTTAGGAAAAAGCTGAATGTGTGTGTGTGTGTACACAAATAAAATTTAAATATAAAAATTAAATTTTCAGTAAGTTACAAGCAATGTTAAGTAATCATAATAAATAAATATTATTTATTATGCTTAACGCATTAAATTGCAAATTACACAATTTTATAAGTCATTTATAAATTCTCTGATTTATAACATATTATTGTTATAAATTAAAATATATTATTTTATGTTTGATTTTTGTAGAAAATATTTGATTGTAAATAAAGATGTAGATTGCATGAATATGCATAAATCCGTTAATGTTTCATACACTTTAGCACCTCTGTGTACCCGTATATGTGTACACAGCTACGCAGGTGCCTTGTGTATACCGATGGTACAACCTCTAGGGCACAATCTTATCCCACCAACTAGTCAAATTAGACTACGGGATCTGGCCTCCAACCTACGATAGTTACCAATCGCCGATGCAGTATGCATCGACCTAAGCTCGTAAACTGCAATCGAGATTATACCGAAGATCTCGTTAAATTTAAGATACTAGGTACCTCTTACGCTTAAAAATCGAAATAAATCGTAAAACACGCAATATTTTAATTAACGTAAAAAAAATGGAAGAGATAATGTAAATGTCGCATGAACAACACTTCCAACTGACCTGTCATAAAATTCTACTATTACGTATTTCCTTTCGGAACGAAACGAGCCTCGGAATCGCGCAAAGAAAGAAAAAATACGCGCATCCTCGCGCTCCGAAGAAGCTCTTTTCCACGAAGATAGTCCTCCCGGCAAGTTGCCTCAGCGAGCAATCTCACGAAATTGCACCGCGCGATTTCACGTCGTTCCGTCGACATTACCGTTCGCATTCCCGGCGTTCCCTTTTTCCGAGTCCTTCGACTTTCATTTGACTGACGGAAGGGGATGAGTTGAGAGGGTGAAAAAGTACATAAGGGAAAGAGTAGTGGACAAAAAGATCTATAGTGAGAGAGAGAGAGAGAATGAAAAGAGATTTCCTCATTCACAGTCAATATTAAAAAGAAGAGATTTATCATCATCGCAAACAATATTACCGTTTTCAAAACTAATGAAAACGGTCAATTAAACATAATAATAACAATTATCTGTAAAAAAATATAAATCCGAATGTATAGTAGACACCACTGTTATTATAATTTCTCTTTTTAAATTGCAATACGCCTAAAAATCTACTTTTATCTTCTCAATAATATTCCGAAGAAATAAATACGCGCTCTCTATTTCCTATTTCTTTGTCAGTCACGCAAAAAGTGGGGCTAGTGGAGGTCAAACTTGAAAAAGGCTTACGCTTTCACGTGACGTATAGCAAAATGAGTATACTTTGGTCAACCATGACTCGTATTCTCGGATTTAAAGAAAGTTTGCTAAAATTTTGTGATCTGTACAGCCAGTTTCTATCATCGTTTCCTTTCCCCGATGTTTAAAATTTTTTTCTGAAGAATGCAGAGTTAATTGTAATAATAAATGATGTAATGTTGCGTGCTACACGTGTAAAATTTACTAATATTACGATATAAAACAATATACATAATGAAAGTAATATAAATTTGAGTTTCACAATAGTGAATGTACAATAGATTGCAAATTTATGGAGAGCGGGAAATCACATATACATTATATGTAAAAAATATTTAAACACTTACCCGTGCTTTCGGCGTCTGTTTTAATCCAATGGCTGGCTGGCTGCGATTACTCTGCAAGAAAAAATGAAAACTCTTGATAACGGAATGACAATAAATTTATAATAACCGACATTAAATTCGATAAACCGTATTGTTTATGCCGTCGTATCGACAGATACTTTTGGCCCGGAAAGTGAAGAAACGAACGGCGATAAATTATTGTCGTAAAATGTGTCATCAAAATACAAACTCGCGGCTATTTCCGGGTTGCAAATAAATCCGCTTCGGATGCGCCGAAGCGACCTTTTGCACGGTATCGCCACAACTGATACGACGCTACAAACGATAAAACGATAATATTTCATTGGCGAAACGTCGGCCGGAACGGTATCGTCCTGGACGCCCATCATTGCTGGAAATTCGTAAATCTTAATTGACTTGCCGGAACGCGAGCGGTTCTTTCGTGGGCCGACCGCAATGTGAACAATGGCCGTGTAACGGGTCAGGCGGAGTAACTTGACGTTAAGAACTTGTCCCAGCCAAATGACAAAACGACCGAACCGGAGTCACGTAGCGAATATCTCGCAGCGATTTAATTAAGCCATCACGCTCGCTCCATATATTCCGACGTTGATTAAACTGTTTTCGGAGTCGATATGCATTTTTATTCGTGTTGATTGCCGCTGCTATTCGCCACGCGCTGTTTCATCTTTTTCACAGATGTTCACTAAAACAGCACAAAGCGCTCATTCCTCGATTTTTGCGAAATTCTCTCATAGCTTTTTTTCACGCAACTTTAGTTTCATGTAGCAAAAATAAAAAGATATAGTTTTTTAAAAACTATGGCTTGCACCTATTTGCTTAAATTTATTCATAATTTGCGCGGTGTATATGTATTCTTTGTTGGAAAAAAAAATTTTTAATTAAAAGAAGAAGTTAGTACGCGAACTTACAGGTCCAAGACATTTAGGATATTACAGAATTTGATGTTCACTAATTTTGAAAAAGATATTTTGCACTTTTCAAGAAATGCTTAACATAACCAGAACTGGATACGTTGATTACATCGAATTTACATTTAAATGTCTCCAGATTGCAATTTTCTACAGCGGAGCAGAAACGAGGACATTTCACCCCGTCAATTTCGACGCTTCGATGCTGCGCTGATGATAATTAGAGCGCATTTAGCGGTGTTTCGCTTGTCCAAAATCGACTAACAGATATACTGAGAAACAAACGAGCTTTGTACGAGACGTGATAATTAAGCGGTTTATCTCGATTAATTCCGGATAATTACGCTTGGCAATTAGTTCAATTGCTGCAACTACCAATGTGGCACGAGTGGGGCCTTACTCTTCGTCCTCGCAATTGCAATCGGCGAAACCGCGACAACAGCATTGCCCTTATAGTTGCGACTCACACGGATTTTGCTGGTGGGTCTGAATCTCGAAAATTGCCTCGTAAACTGAGGACGCCGACGGAACCGGACTTGAGTACCTCCCCGGTTGCATTTCCACCTTGGAACCGCTGCTCAATTTAAACCGTCATTTACATTTTATCACGTAATAAGCGACCGTCGAGCGCAAATTGCGCAGCCAAATATTCGCCAGGCTTCGTCTAATATTAGACGCAAGGATAATTTGAATCTTTCTGGTCGATGTTTATATAACTCCACCGTAAAAATTACGCAATCAAGCTTACGCGTCTCGAGCTCCCTGAAATGGAAAATATGCGTGCGACCAAATTTTCGAGGGGAAAATAATTAAGGTTGCCGAGCCTCGATATAATCCACGCGGTCGACGGTGGCTGGCGAATTTGGCCGTGGTCACTATTACTATATTCGTAATTACTCCGAGTTTTCCATTACGCTTACTTCACGCTACGCCACGAATATAATATTCTAAAACGACTCGACCTACTCCGAGTAATTACGGATTATCCAGTTTTCTTAACCCACCCGTTTTTCTCTCCTCGTTACCCAACGTTCCCCGCCATTTTACTTTCACCCCTGGCTCTTTCCATCTACTTGACTATCGAGACGCGACTCACGTCGAAAGCACCGCTGAGCCGAGGAAACAAAGAAAAAGATAAAACCGCGAAGGAATGAAAAGGGGACAAACAATAAGACAGGAACTTGGATGAAAAATCGTAGCCGCCTAACGGAAGCGCGTCGGCACAGCCAAGCACCATCTCGCATCGAGTTCCGTTGGCCGAACTTTTTCTTCTCGCCAGTCTCCGCCTCGTGCGAGAAGTTTCGACGGGCGTTTACCGGCGAATTTATCGGCATCGCGGTCTATTAACTCGTAATGGCATTAAGTCGACCTGCCGATACCTGATATACCGTATAATTATTTTCTGTTTGAACGCGCCCCAGATTATGTGACAGCTTCGCACGGAATGCTTTTTTTACTGATGCATTTAATCTGAGCATATATTAACTATATTTCATAGAGTAAACAGACAGATTAGGTTCATTCAATCAGTTTGCAGAACGAGTAAATTATATCATTTAATTGAACCAATAATAATAATATTGAATAAGTAAAGAGCATACACACAGTATAATTATAAGAAATAAATAGAAATAGGGAAATGTACAAAGTTGTTTGGAGCAATTTTTTAATCGAGCATTTTTACTATATTATTATTTTAGCGCTGATTATTTCTAATACAATATCCGAGGGGTAAACCGCTGACGAAAACCACTAATATCCAGTGGGCATTACGTTATCTTCTTAGCAAGACATAATGCTCAAAGTAATGCCCAAAAAATGCCTAGTAATGCCGCAAATCTGTACACCACAATGCTCTCTGCGCACCTAGAAAAAAGTCTCTTTGAAATCAAACATATTTTCTTCGAATTTTGACCTTGCTAGACTTTATTTAATTTTAAACAAACGATTTCTTTACCTTAACCAAAATTTTATTCGATTGCGACTGGAATCTTTAAGAGAATTCATATCTATTTCTTCAAATCCAGCAAATGTTTTAGTAGAAATAAATAAAGATTTAGTAGATTCAAAGAAACGTGATTTCAACGTATCTCATTTGTTTAACCTGAATAAAACTTTTTTCTGGGTGCGGTTTACCCCTCGACAATATCATTTGATAGGACTGCGTTAATTCGATTCTGTTATACATATAAGCAAGATAAATGTCTTTATATAAACCGTTCTATTATCAACGATAGCTTTATCTAACAAAACCCTACCGGCCGCGGCGTATATTTCTTCGACATTAGCCCCGGGCGAAACCCGTTGCCGATTGGTTGACAGACAAGAATTGGTTAGGCTATATCGTTACTAGGATTAATTCAGCCTTGAGCCAGCGCCAGGAGCGTTCGAATTGAAAACAAATCAATCAGAATGAAATGTGGCACGAGAGCGCTGGGTATCAGAGCGCTCGGGAAAATCCATCGGCAGGTCACGTACAAAGGAAACGGGAATTCCATTTCGCGGAGGAAGCCTCTGACGTCTCCGATGTGCCATTCGGATAATTATTCAGTTACAGCGAGCGCTTTAGGCAGCTGCAGAAAGCGGATGATATTTGATTCTGGACAAGAGACGCGTTCACGCGCGTTCATGTACTGTTTAATATCAATTCGTCTAGCTTAACGCGACTCGCTCTGCCTATCATTCTGTATATCTGTCCTTTCTAGTGACATATTTTAACAAATTATTACTTTTGCTTTATTTTTTTAATGTTACACGAAACGACAATACGATTCTGTTTCATATTTCAATTGTATACACATCTGTATAATAAAATATATAATTCCGCCGTGGAATAATAAATCGTGAACATTGACGGTCGATAATTTTCTAGTAAATAGATTTTTCACTGGGATAACTAAATAAAAATCCAATAATTGAGATATTCGCAGGAAAGTGTGCACTGTATAACGATAGGAGAGAAATCGATTCCCAATTAATTATATGTATAGGTATCCCTAATATGTATATTCCACGACCCGTACTGCGCTTCGGTCATTAAATCGATAACAAACTACAATTCTAGTCCGTCTGTCCCATCCATTTCTCTCGCTGTGTGTGCTCCTAAGACTATTTTATTTCTTTATTCTTATACTTTTAACGCGTGCGATTGTATTATTAATAATTTATTATTAATTATTGATAAAATTCATAAAATTTATTAATGTTTAGCATTAATTATTAAATATTATATAAAATTCATTAATAAAGTATTATTAATAACTAATAAAATACTACATAAAAACTGTTACATTGAGATACATTTCCGGTCGAGGCAAAAAATTCAGCGGTCATTTAACTGTTCGGCACTACTTTCCTCCAGTCGCTACGTTATTGTCAATGAATTTTTAATCACGCATAGCATACGCCAGGTTAGTTCGTGCCTTCGTGTTAAACTCGCACTAAGTACGGGAGAACTTTTGCTTGTAAATTTCAGTTCCGAACGCAAGAGTTTGCAGACATTAATGGAATAATGTTCCTCCGTTCTTACGCTGTTCTTACATGTTATTATGTACAATGGAGTAGAAATCCCGTGATATTTTGTGACAATTTATGACACCTCGAAAGTCTTCTATATTGTATCTGTTGAGATAGATCACTTTCCAAGTAAAATTATACTTAGTGTTAAAAAACGACATATTTGCACGATATTATAAATTGTTAATTTGTTCTTTTACATATACAGCTTTTTAAATAAATTTGTACAATGATGTTTTTACTCAAATAAATGGTTGACTCAAAGATAAACACTGCCAAGTTCCTTATTGTTAGTAAATTCTTCTTACATATTTTATATTCTAAAATAACAGTTATAAATCCTGCTGACATGTTAGTCTCATGTTTTGTTATGTTTAGTACAATGAGTTCGATAAAACGTAGTCATTATTTTTGCAAATAATAAATCGTGAATCTTGACAAAATTAACATCATATAATCGAACACAAGGTAAATGAGTTTATTCGCATAAAAATATCCATAATAATGACAAAATGGATTAAGAAAATATTACATTGGATATTTTTGTTCATTCATAAATAAAAGCTGTTCAGTATAAACTTATTCACTGATTGAAAACAAGAA